CTCTCTCTCTCTCTCTCTCTCTCTCTCTCTCTCTCTCTCTCTCTCTCTCTCTCTCTCTCTCTCTCTCTCTCTCTCTCTCTCTCTCTCTCCGCTTTTCCTGTTATTCGAACAAAAATACCAAGACATTATAGCCTGGGCCCCGTTCCATTCTGAGAGGCATCCGTTCGGTTCATTTTCCGCTGGGAAGTCGGAATATAAAACAGATACACACCGTTGACGCCCTTCTCCTTCTCTGTTATGGATGAGAAGGTCCTGCCAAAATTGTTGCGTTTCTGTTTCTCCTCACAACACTGCTCAACATCCTTAGGTGTTGAGTTGTCCATGATTCCTTTTGTGTCGACCTTACCTCACTTTTCTTGCTCCAACCAGTACTCCTAAACCACCATTACCCCTGTGGCAGCATCGTTTCAGCATCTGCAGCCCGGCCTCCGGGTTTGGCGGAGGTTCTGCACACAAAACACCACTGTTGGACCTGAAATCCAATCGGGCTTTCCCCATCTGTGAAATGCTGGGCGCAGCCTACGAGCATGTCAGGAATATTTCGTGCAGGTACCTGCTGGTTTAAACCACTAGTACTCGGCCCCAGCCTCTCAGTCCGAAACTTGCCGCCACAACAAAATGAGGCCGAAACGTCAAATGCGGGGCCTGCCGTTGATACGTTGCTATTGGCGGGCGCTTTTTCATTTCGCACTTCTGGAATTCCAGGTGTCAGGGGCGCGGCCCAGGTAGCCGTGTACTGGTGGTTTAAGCAAGGAAACGAAAAAAATGTCATGATGCGGGCACTCCGATGGCAATCCCTTTAACACTTTTGCCTTTTGTATCAGCTGCACGCACTCTCTTTTCCGCGTCGCATAAAGGGAAGAGAAGGGCAAACTGTCGAAAACAGGATAAAAAACAAGGCCATCCAATCGGAAGAAGATCTGTTTAAAGAACTGTCGAAAATGTTGAAACGTCTTTGCAGCAGAAGTAGGTGTCAGCTTCTTCAATCTTCAAGGAACATGAGTCGGTGTCAGTCCAGCGCTCCTATTGCCGTGTTTGTTCTCGAAGTTTGGACTTTGAATTTTGGAGCTGAACAGAGATGTGTCGTTGTGCCCATGAACTGTTGAAATACAGACCGGAGTTCGAATCTAGATGCAATCAGACGAATGTAGTAGCATCATTACCTGTGGCCGGTCAATTCAATGATGATATCTCAGCACTGCCACACTTCAAAAACCAAACCAAACCAAACCAAACCAAACCCTAAACCGTAAACCAAACCAAACCAAGCCTAGCCTAAGGGGTGTTGTGTCATGGAGCACAGTGCGGAAAAACGTTGTGTGTCTCTTGGAACTTTTTCTCTTTTTTTTTTTTTTTTTTTTTTTTTTTCTTTTTTTTTTGTCCTCCTAAAACAGAACCGTAGGGTTCTGGATCCTTTTCCATTCTGGGGAGCATCATTCTGGTTCCTATTCCACCGGCAAGTCAGAAAGGATTACAATAAAAAAACTCACGCACGCTCCTCCCCCTTGTGAATTTCTTGGGAAGACCAGCGATCCCCGGTGTTTTATCCTCCTCCATTCGCATGAGGGCCGTCCAAATCTCCCCCTTGGTTAAGGGGGTCTAAACTTCTAAAGGCTCTCTCTCTGGGTCGCCGAGAGGGCTCTGTCTAATGGGACTAGAAATTCCTCTACCGCCCTCTGCAGTCCACCATTCGGTAATGTTGTGGTGTGTGATGCGAAAAGGTCTTAAAAAAAAATAACGTGCTATCTTCATGGATCTGGCCGTTGTCACAGCTGGTGACGTCTCGTCCACCTAGGGATCATATAGAGCCTCAATCAATCGTGGCACGTTTGGCTCTCATCTGAGCCATGCTGAAAAAACTGTCTATCCATAGCCGCTTCCGTTGGGTGCTTGGAAAGTTTTCCTCGGACACGTGTGCCTTGCCACCTATACTGGGCGCACGTCGTAAAATATGTTCTTTCAGGTCTTGAATTTGGTTGTGCACCCCCAATTGTTCGGTGGGTCTAGCGCGTATGAAAATTCCTGCTGCTCAAGATCCATTAGTTTGTTCATGCTTTCGATTCCTTGTTGGTGCCTTTGTGCTGCCAGGTGCTTTGAGAATTCACTGCATTTGTTAGATAGAAAGAAAAGTCCATTGTTAAACCACCAGTGCTTGTTTGGCCCAGCTATTGGCCGTGGGAAAAAAAATAGAGTAGAAACGTTTCTAGTCGGATGAATTTGGGCGGTCCTGTAGTGGCCCGTACGTTTCCTAAAATTCTGGCTTGTTAACGGGCACAACTTTCGTAAGTACTGGTGGTTTAAACCATGTGACAAGGGAGTCTACTTCCGACTGCCTTTCCTTCCCAATAGGCCCATGCCTGGCGCAAATACTGTTGGAAGGAATGCAAGTGCAGCACGGATGTATTAAGTATATAATAACCCGGCGCGCAGTTCGGATGCTTGCGGAAAGTAAGAACTGCCACACACATCTTATGATCTACCTTCTTCCCCCGAATACAACGCACGGTCATTTAAGCTGTATTTGGGRTGTGTTTCAGACTAAATACGGAAAGTAAGAACTGCCACACACATCTTATGATCTACCTTCTTCCCCCGAATACAACGCACGGTCATTTTAGCTGTATTTGGGGTGTGTTTCAGACTAAATACGGAAAGTAAGAACTGCCACACACATCTTATGATCTACCTTCTTCCCCCGAATACAACGCACAGTCATTTAGCTGTATTTGGGGTGTGTTTCAGACTAAATACAGCTATAATGACCGTACGTTGTATTCGGGGGAAGAAGGTAGGCCTGGAAAAGGGCTAGCGGGCAGAATTGCTGCAAGAGTGAGGCCCCCTTCCAAGGCTTCTGATAAGAAGATCAAGGCAATTTGAGACCGTGACGGCCTCACAGGGTCAATGTTGCTTTCAACACAAGTGAAATGACGCTCGGTAGGGAACTGACCGACAACTTGAAGGAGTCGAAGCGGGAGAGGGATGAGCAGAGGTGGGTCCTCGAGCATTCGCTCGTCTCCCTCCGCCGTGCCAATGGTGGAGGGAGAGAACCTCCACCTGTCCAGCCATCTGTCTGGGGCAATGTTGAAATCCCCAGCAAGGATCAGTGGGATGTCCGGCAAATTCCTGCCGTTGATTACGTCCAGGAATACTAGTTGTTTCTGCGTAGTGTTGGGGGCATGCAAGACTACACGGACACTATATTTATCATTTCTAATTCCAGCATTCCCAGCACTGACACACACCTTCCGTCTGTCTCATCCCTCTCCCATTGACGGACCTCCATCCGTGAATCGGGCGGGCTCCATATTGCAACCCCTGCCCTCCCCGGACCTGGAGAATCGGACTGAAAGGACTGGTGGGGGCGGGCAGATTAGTCTGTTTTTTGTTTTTTTGTTTTTTAATGCGTACCTTCCAGGCTTTTGAGAACATTTGTTAAGGTTTGTCTGTGCACTGTTTTTTTTTTTTTTTTTTTTTTTTTTTTTTTTTTTTTTTTTTTTTTTTTTTTTTTATAAACCCCGCCTCTCTCTCTCTCTCTCTCTCTCTCTCTCTCTCTCTCTCTCTCTCTCTCTCTCTCTCTCTCTGTATATATATAAGAGAGAGTTTTTTTCTTTTTTTTTTTTTTTTTTTTTTTTTTTTTTTTTTTTGTCCTTTCTTTTTGGTGTCGTTGTGATCTTTCTTAATGGGGTGCAAGGTTCAGGTATCACATGCGTCATGACTATGTTCCTCTGTTTTTTTTTCTAGAGACGAGGAAAAGGGGATTTGCCCCTCACTTTGTTGTATTCAACTGGATTTGAACTCTTGATCTGTTTTCCTCAACAGTCACATGTGTGTACCATGCAGCCTCCAGGCAGGCATGTGCATTGAGGAGTATGTTCTTTCAACATACTCTTTCAAAATTTTCGTCTCCCAAGCGCATGAGCTCTTTTGCCTGTTCTTGGGGTGGGACTATTTTCCAGAGGTCACTGAGAGGTGTCCATTTTTGTTATCTGCGACTCCGAACTGGTTGTCGCTAATATCCGTAATTGAATGAAAGCTTTCATTCCCTTAAACCACCACTACCTTTCTCAGTGTTGGGAAAAGTGGGAATATGTGTCACACCGCATTTTGAGGGGTGGGTCCGGAAGAGGCTCGGGAGAAAAGAAGTGTTTGGGCCTTGTGGGCCCGCTTGCAACAAAAAAAAGTTAAAAAAAACGAAAGAAAGGAAGCAACTGTGCACTGAGGAAAGACGTTGGGGGACGAGATGTGCTCACACCACTACTTCCAGGAACGCATCCGACTGCTTTCACGTATAGTTTCAGCTTCAGTTTTTTTTTTTTTTTTTTTTTTTTTTGTGTGTGTGTGTGTGTGTGTGTGTGTTTTCAAGTGCCCTTCCAGTGAAGCAGGGCGCATTGCACGGACTGCTGACATGTTTGTCATGGAGGGCATACTTTCACACGTACTCAAGATTCTGTATCCCACTGCATTCACGTCCATATCGTTGTTGCTTTTTTTTTTCTTCTTTTTCATTTCAGATGGTAACTGCCATGATGAACGCGATGCTGCAACACATCTGACGGAAGGCTAGTGTCACACACTCCAAATTCCGTATCCATACTATCCAACCGATTTCACGCCCATAGGGTCTTTGCCTTTTATTTATTTTTATTTTTTTAAGGTTGTTCACTCCTTATGGCATCATCCGTGATGACCGCGCCGCTGTAACGGCATTCTGCAAGGCATAAGGTCTCGCCACACGGCCCAAGAATCGAAACGAAACGAACTGCAAACTCGCAAGGCCTCGCGAACGCTCCCGTTCGTTTTTTCTTCGTTTTTTGAGTCATCGCCACACGGCCCACGCGAGTTGCACATACGGGGATGGGGGCAGCTCGCGCTCAACTTCATCAACGTGGCGAGCCTTGCACGTGAGAGGCACAGTGGAGGTGGAGTTCAAAGAAGAATGAGAAATTTAATGGTTTCAATCTGCCCTTGTTTTTTCTTTTTGTTTTTATTTTTGCATGTTATCACTGTGCCCGTTTTTTGCTTTTATTCTTTGTTCCGCAAAGTGCGCTCTTTTAGTTTGTAGTGATGTGACAATATATGAATAGACCCCGCGAACCCCGACAACTGCATGAGGACAAATCACAGTACGGATGGATATGGAGTCTTATGGACATAGCTGGGCGACTGTGTTGGACATATATGGGAGACTCGCGAGGAAACCTGCACCCATAACTTTTCTGCATTCGGAACTTGCTGAGAGGACCCACGGAACTTGAGGTGTTGCCGGCAGGCGGCAACTCTCTCTCTCTTTGCGAACCACAATTTCTTTGTGGATCTGACAACATCCTGACTTCTTGCGACTTCAGTTTCGACATCAAAATTCGTGTGGCGGTGTAGCGGTGTGCAAACGAAACGATTTCGTGAATTTTTTCATTTCGCGTGCCGTATGGCGAGGCTCATAGTCTCACGCGTACTTCAGATTCTGCATCCAACTGCTTTCACGTCTGTAGCGTCCTCAGATTTTTGTTTGGCCCGTGCCGTGATAAAAATGAGTCTTTTTTTTTTTGTTTGTACGAGTACCAGAAAAGAAAAGACAATGGGACCTAGGCTCGGCAGAACTCGGTGCGCAGTGAAATTCAGGGTCGGCAAAAACAGGCCTGGAGGTAGTGGTGGTTAAAAACACAAACAAAAAAGAAAAAAACGAAGGAAGAAAAAAACAGAAGAAAACCTTTCTTCATCCTACCTCTTAAGCGGCATCAGCCGCGGGGTGATGTCCATGAGGTCTGCTGCGCGCCGAAAACCGGAGTGAAAATGCGGGCGGGCCATCGGATGGGGCTGATCGACGGGTGGGGTTGGTGGGGTGCGGGCAGAACCAGTTTTCCACCTGTTTGTTCACAACGCACCGGTTAACGTGGTGAGGGCGGTCACGTGGACCAGCACGCAAGGAGCATTGATCGAGGGAATATCTCGGAAGGAGAGCCATCCGATAGTGGTTGGGCGTCGTTTTCTTCGTCTCCCTTTTTTATTTTTTCGTTGGGCGTCGTTTTCTTCCTCCTTTTGTCGGTCTGTTTCAATCTATGCAATTGTGTTCTGAGTCAGTTTGAACTCTCTTTGCGTCTGTCACTGGACTGTTAGAGTCAGTTTGAGCCCGTTTTGAGTGTCTTTTTAGTTTGTTTTAGCGTATAGGTCCATTTGAGTCAGTGTGAGCAGGTTGTTTGATGTTTCATATTTTTGTTGTTAGTGCAGGCATTGCCCGCACCGCCTGCACCACAGGCGCTAAGCCAGTGTCCTATTGCACATCAGGTGGGACGAGGCCCCCGTTACGGTAACTGGGACAAGCCCCCGCTTATCTGGAATCTCTGTTTCTGATCGTAGATCACGGGGATCGATGGCCAGAAACAAACAGTCTAGGTAAAGTGGGGCTCCAGTCCTGGTGCCAATTCCATGGATCAAAGAAACACCATTAAACTTCCCATCTCTCAGAAGAAGCACAGTCAGGACACAAGTGGTTAACAGGGACACCCACTTTTCAGCCCTACCGTAGGTCTACCCCCCCAGCACTGAAAAGTGCATTTTTTCTGGGGGATTTCTTTTTTTCAGTTTTTTTCTAGGCTACCAAAGTGGCCCGAAACCCCTTGCCTAGCCGGGCCAAAAAAAAAAAAAAAAAAAAAAAAAAAGATGGTAAAGAATTTCGATGATACCCTGAGGCGAAAGTTGTTCAGTTTATTTTACTGCATAACATAGTTTTTTTTTCTAGTTTTTTTTGGGGGTTTTCTTTTTTTCTTTTCTTTTTTTGCTGGGACGTTACCTGGTCCCTGCATGGCTGGGCTGCCCGGGAAAACAAGGTGAGCCGGGCTGTCC